AACACACTACATAATGGCCGCAATTGTGTCGATATATAGCTCTTTACGCGAATTAGATTCCTATATCATACCAGCAAAGCACTTCTCATTTGTCTAATTTGCGGATCACGTTCTAATCCTCACGACCGTGTCTATCAGAGTTCTGATTTCTCAACGACGTCCTACACTGAAGGCTTTTCACAAGCCCCTGTCAGCTGGAGTGTCGGCGGATTACAGGCCAGTGGTCTCTCGGCCACTCCAGGCCTGGTAGGCTGATAAACAGTTTGCTTGTGATACCAGCTCTTTGCACGGCCGGTGTGATAGCTTCTCGTTTAGATATAACCGATTAACCGGACCTTCCGAGAAACAGTGCTCTTGTGATGCAAGCTCTTTGCATTGTCGGCGTAATGTAATATTATATAGCTCCCCGTTTGGTTTTTACTGATTAACCGGGCTTTGGTAAACCGATTAACCGGACTCATCGAGAAACAGTCACGTACGAGTGGGCGGTTGGCGGGTGCTCTGGTGTGGTTTGCTCCTTCTTTCCTTTCAAATGTCTATCGTCCTTATCTCCCCTTCTTCTTCTTTGTTTGTTTGTTTCTCTTGTAACACCTCTAATCTTCTGGCGCTCATATGACCTTATGCAGCTGCGAACGCCGTAAAACCTCTACTAAACTAATCATGTACACCTGATACGAGCTCTTTGCATGACTGGCGTAATAGCTCCCCTTTTGATGAACTGATCAACCGGACCTGCCCCCAGAAACAATGTATTTATTATGTGAACTACCAGCTCTTTGCATGGTCGGCATAATAGCTCCCCGTTTGTTCAGCCGACTAACAGGACCTGTCGAGATAATTCCTGCCTGCACGAACGAAGAGTAATTGTTTGTTGTGGGTGGTTAGCGGGTGCTCTGATGTGAGTCGCTCCTTCTTTTCAATCAGACGTCTGTCTTCCTTGTCTCTCCTCATTCTTTTCTTTTGTATGTTACTCTTTAGTAACACATCTAATCTTCGGCTTTTGATACCTAATTGCGTTGCAAGTGCCGTGAAACTCGCACTAAAACTTTGAAGAGCAAAAAAAGACGTCATTGTATTGCATGGCGTAATAACTAGATGGTTGGTTAACCGGATATCCGTGTAACTGTTACGGCAGGTTCCGCTATCTATGACAAGGCGTGTAACCTGTGGGTGGATCGGTTAACCGGATAATAAATGTATGTGTACTACAACTGTCTCCTGTGGTTCCGGTGCCTTATCGGTGTTGAACTTTGAAGTACCGGGCGCCGGTTGTGTTGTTAGGGTTGCCTGGCTTCGATTGCAGTGATAAACGGCGTGTTTCGGGGAATTTTT